TAATAATAATAATAATAATAATAATAATAATAATAATAATAATAATAATAATAATAATAATAATAATAATAATAATAATAATAATAATAATTCAAAAATGAATGAATGAAAGTAAAGAAAAAGAAAAGAATAGAATAAAATAGAATAATTCATTTTCTAATTATTTTCCATTGGAGTTTAAGTTCAAATTCTTGAAGAATTGAAAGTAATCTAGATATATGGGGTATCTATATAGGTCATACACATACACATACACACACATATATATATATATATATATATATATAAATATATATGTAATAAAATATATAGAATGTTCGACGTCACTAGTTATAGTAGTGTTAGAGCATTGAAATGTTGAGTGTTGGTATTATAGCAAAGTTCATTCAGGGGATGCAGTGTCCCAGATTTGGAGTTAGCAGCAGCACAGCAGCTCCCTTCGACAGTCGTTCAACCCTCGTCCTAGATTTGTCCTACTGACGTCATTTGTCCTTCCGCGCAAGCTCATCATGCCCTTTTTTCTTTCCAATTCCTCTTCTACAAGGTGTCCCTTCAAAATTTCTTACAATTCTCATTAACCCCACAACCCACCCAACACCCAACACCTTTGTTTTTTATTTTTTTTTACTTTTGTGTTTCTTCTTTTATACTTTATTAAATATTTATACAAAGAAAATGGATGAATGAATTAATTAATTTATTATTAATGAATAATAAAGTATATTCGAAAAATATTAAACGATATTTAGTTTTTTTTTTTTTATTTTAAATTGATGCATACATTGTATAAATATGCAATGTGTATAAATTTAAATGAATACACATGCTAATTTTTGGTTGTTCATGGTTTTTAACATTCCATTATTTTCTTATTTATCCTCTTTTATTCTTTCGTTCTTATAATCATAAATGTCAAAACTTTTCGTTCATATCTTCAGACGTTTTCCTCATAAAAGAGGAAGGCCTGGTTGTCTGCTTAGTTGGCTGTCCCCTTCTTTCAAAGTTTTTACAAAACTTCGGTCGATGTAACTTAGCTTATTGACGTCAGAATGACGTAACTATATCCGGAACGATTTATTAACATAAATCTTTCCCACTTCCTTGCTGTAATAGTTGACCATTGGTCATATTTTATTTTATTTTATTTCATTTCATTTGATTATTTTTAATTATCGTGTTTTGTGTTTTTTATTCCTCTCTTTTGCTGTTGACTCTCTATTTTCTTTTTATTTTGTGATCATTTTTCTATGATAATCCATATCATCCAGACATTCGTTATAATATTTATACGTCATGTATGTGTATCATACATTAGATTATTATTAATAATAAAAAATAAACTCGTTTATATTATATGTTTATATTTTACAGGCCACTGGTTTCTTACAACAACCAATACCGTATAACAGTTTCTACGTTGAGAAATATGCAGTTGGTAGATTAGGAACGACATATAAAAGTTGTTTAAGATTATATCTACGCAATGGTTCATTATTATTACAAGCAAATGATTCTTATACCAGGGACCAGTGGTATCATTCCATTAATTGGAAGGTATAACGTATTTATTAATAACAAAAAAAAAAAGATTAACACTAAAATGAAATATATATTAAGAAAAATATGATTTATGTTTACAGAAAAGTCTTCATCAATTTAAATGCAAATCATTTGTCAGTACAGAAAACATAGCCGTAAGGGAATTACGTTTAATGGTAGAGTTTGCATTGTCAACACCGCTTCAGGATGAAAGAGTTGCAACAGCAGCTATGGAAGCGGTAGCTAAATTATTGGAGGCACCTTGGGGTGGTTCTAGATCATTGATAGAACAGCAAGATGATGTGGATGATGAAAAGAAAAAAAAAGTTGAAGTAACCAAAGAAGAGGAAGGTAGTTGGGCTTTGTTCATATTACCGGTTGTAGCACCGCTCTTAGAAAGGGCTGCTCCACCTGCTGCGTTAGCTCGTGTATTAACTAGATTAGTACGACAACATCCTAAATTTAGTTTAGTCAAGTATCTAGCTCCGGCTGTCACAAGGTGCCTCAAACATACCGTCGATTTTGGCAAGTCTCCTGATATGAGAAAACTCTTGCAAGTATTTGTCGCAGCACTTTATGAAAGTAATGAGGGTAACGATGGTGAAAGAGCTATCAGAGAATATATCGCATCGGTTCATGGTCCTGGAAGCGATTGTCCACATCCAAGAGTATTACCCAATTTGGTTTCAGTCTGTGTCGCTGCTATATTTCATAGGTTAGTTTATATTTATTATTTTTCCTTGTTATACACAAGTTTTATATAAGATAGTATCTTATTTTTCTTTCCTTATTTCTCTCATCAGGTTCGAAGATAGCAATGTAAGCGAGGATAAGCCATTACCACCTCTCAATTGTTATCTTTTAGTTCTAAACGTAGCGTAAGTTTCATTATATTCTTTGATCACAAATTTAATATCGAATTCTCTTACGAATATATTATTTTCTATCACGCTTAGCTCAGAGTATGCCGATTGGAGACCTGGTTTAGCTGGTTTGTTACAACCTGTACCATTTCCTGAAGAAGCTCTAACCGTTAAAGAAGTACAGAAGTCAATTCTTAGCCGTGCAATACGACGTTTGGCTAAAGATTCCAGATGTTCGGTTCATCAAGTTCTACTTCCAGTTAGAGAACCAAGACCAGGTTGGCTTCACATAGCTGCACCATCTAGTCCAGCTTGTCCTGACCGTGGTGAACTTTTTGGTGAAATGGTAAGCACCATAAGTATCTTATTATTTATATAATAAAAAGAAAGAAATATGATTTATTGATAAAATATCCAACAGTTGACTACACTACTGGGATGTTGTTGTCGAAGAAAAAGATTTGTCGGATCGTTGATGAAACAAGCCAAAGACGATTGTATTCTCCTTGCTGTCAGAGGATGCGGTGCTGCTCAAGAAGCACTTTGCCTTATGCTCGAGTGGCGTCTACTGCCAAATGAAGAAGCTAGGCTTCAGATAGTCAATGCCCTCGAATCTACTTCCTCTGGTAAAACTCGTTACGCTGCACTTTGTCAAAGGCAAAGGAATTTACAAGAATTGGTGAGATTTTATTCACATATTTTGTACATATCATTTACTTCATTAATCTAAAAACGTTGATTATTCCTAATTTGTTAGATTATTTCTAACATGGTGTACATTTTATTGTTTATCGATTCATCAACAGCAACAAAAAGGTGGTCCAAAAAAATTAACGCTACCAGTAAGAGCAACGGATGCCGATGTTGCTCTCCTTCTTGGTGGACGTGCATTAGGAAATTTAGAATGTCTCAGTTTAGCATTTACATCAGTTACATCTGCCTGTGCCGAACAGTTGATCAAACTACCAGCATTGAGGTATTTGAACCTCTGGGCAACTCAATTCGGTGATGCCGGATTGCAAATGATCAGTGAACACTTGCAAAAATTGCAGGTATTAAATCTATGTGAAACACCTGTCTCTGACAAAGGCATCTCTACTCTAGCTTGTAAGTAGTCTTATACAAAAAACAAAACAAAAATAATCTTAAAATAATAATAAGATTATTGATCATCTTAAAATCTCATTTTTTCGTGTCTTTTTATATTTCCAGCTTTGACAAATCTGAGAAAACTTAATTTAAACAGCACCAAATTATCGGCTCAAACGTTCGAATCGTTGAAGAAAAGATTACCAGCGTTGCAAGAATTTGATGTTCGTTATACAGAAGCATGGTGACCAGAACCAATATCGGGTCGCAATCATAAAAAGACATAAATTCATTCGAAGAAGAGGGAACATGTCATATAAAAGATGTTTAAAAAAAAAAGAAAAAAAGAAAAAAAAGAAGGCCCGTACTAATAACTCGACGAATAGTCAAAAAAAATTGTCATTGTTACCAAAGCGGAGAGAGATCAATTTGTTATCGTTGCATATTCATCAAAACAAATATAATAATTCATTGTTTCATGAAAATATATTATTATATTATGAAATAATATTATACCGACCAGTTGAAATATCAAATAAGATATAGAATTACATACGTTAACAAAGTAATATATGAATGAATAATATTATAAATAATATGAATTGTATTAGTAATTAAAGTATACGTGTGAGATTGAAATTAGATACACAAAATTAGATTCAATAGAACAGTAGAATTAACAGAACATTCCTTAATAGCACAAAATATTGAAAAATATTGAACACATGTGTATTTAATATTAACAAGACATTGAATATCTTTTTTTTTGTCAATATTTTTTTTTTAATACTTTGTGCTACTAGGGAACATTTGTGAAGTACAAGAAATGATAAAAATGGGATTACTTTTGATCATTGTTGTAGCATTAGAAAAATACTTAAACTACGCTGATCAAATTGAATACTTTAATTACTATTTACTTTTCATAAATTCTTCATATATTACTTTAGTTATTTCATTAAATTAATTTAATTGTATACTTTAACGGTAACAAATTTCAACCAAAATTCGCTTATCTTTCTCTTTCTATCTCTCTCTTTCTCTATTATTCTCTTTAATTATTATCTTTGGACTTTTGAAATCGTCTTATCTAAAACATAGTCATTTACTTACGTCATATTCCTCTTATTTTCTAAACTACAAATAATACATAATAATAATAATAATAATAATAATAATAATAATAATACTCTTTGGATCGATGAGATCGATCATTGAGAAAATTGTTTCTTTTATTTATCAAAAATATAAAAAAAAAAAAAAACAATAAAAAAAAGAACAAAAAAATAAACTACATATATACATAGAACATTCATATACACACAACACACAATACATACATACATACACACACACACACACATGGATATGAAATTGTTGATAAAATAAGTCATTCTATAAATAATGACTTTTAAATCTTACATATCACAGCTGCCGTTTCCACGTTGTTAAAAAATAACCAAAAAGGAGAAGTAAAAAAGAAACAAAAAGAAGTCAAGTATAGTAACAACAATAACAAAAAAAAAATAAAAAGAACTACCAACAACCGATAACAAAAACAAAAACCAAAAAAATAACAAAAATAAATTAAACGAACGTGTGGCGATAAAACTTCTGATTCCTCTCTCTTCCACGAATAATATAATATTTAAATAATAATAATAATAATAATAATAGTAATAATAATTATAATAAAAAAAAGAAAACTACATTTTTAACCCTTTCGTTTTGTTTAAACCATATAAGGGTTGCTATATATATATATATAAAATAACGAAAAGGTTTCAATCGGATTATTTCCTACAAGGAAAAAACTATTTTATATATATATATAAATAATATAATAATTTTATTTATTTTAAATAATTTTAAAAATTAATTAACCAGTTAAGTGTGGTGATGATCTGTGCACAGAGCGCGCTCTGGTGTATGTCGCGATAATCAAGCGATGACGGATATAGTCGTCGTCAAACACAGAGTAAGTGGGTACTGTTAAAATATCGGATAGTCAAAAAGACGACATTATTTTAGAAAATGAACAATTTTGTTAGTAATGTAAACACAGTTTCTCAATATGAACATATTATTTATACATAAATAATAAACGGAAAAATTAGAGAAAAAAATCGAATATTTATAGAAGTGAAAAATGTATTCTTGACTTTTCTTTTTTTTTTTTTTCTTGACCTCTAAACATTTTAAACATATTAAAATTTACAAATATAATTTAATTTTCGTCAAAATTACAATTTAATTATCAAATTGTAACAAACTTTTACGCATGACGGATGATATATAGACGTCATAACACAAAATTTTGCCACATCTCCATGACGGATATAGTCGTCAAACACGCTTAACTGGTTAAAGAATAATTTAATAAAAAATTAATTAAAAATAACATTAATTTATATTTTAATAAATTATTAATAAATATTACAATATTATATTTATATATAATATAATATTATATATATATTAATATATATAATATTAATTAATATATATATATATATATATATATTTCTTTTCCATATTTTTTGTCTTTTTTTTCTTATTTTTCTTTTTCTAAATCCAAAATAAAATATATCTTCAGTGAGAAGAAGAAAAAAAAATAAAAACAAATTAACAGTCAAAAATCGTCGAAGAGTGTAAACCGAACCATTACAACAAAACGTGAATAAATAAATTAAATAAATTAAATAAATAAATAAAATAAATAATTAAATGAACGAATAAATGCATACGATGACAGGACATATTTGTTTGTCGCAAATATTCATGAAAAAAAAAAAAAATAAATAAGTGTCGAAGACGATAATATGACCTAAAAAAGAAGAAAAGAAGAAAAAAAAGAACCAGAAAAAAAAGAACCAGAAAAAAAAGAACCAGAAAAGAAAAGAACCAGAAAAGAAAAGAAAAGAAAAAAAAATAAAAAAGAGAATAAAAAACGAGACTCTTCTTCCCTAGGAAGGGTGGGTCCCCCCTCCCCAACTGCCTTAATCAGCCAGTTTCTGAGCAACCACTGCCACTACGTTACTCAAATCGTGTCGAAAACAATGATGAAATTAAAGTCAAAGTCAAAGTTTAAAATTGAATAGAGTTGTTGGAATCGTTTAAAAATATTCATAACAAGAGGAATAAAAATGCAACAATTGTTTTGTGCATATTATTACGCTCTTTCTCTCTCTATCTCTTTCTCTCTCTCTCTTTCTATTTCTATTTCTCTTTATCATTATCTATTTAATCAGAGTTAAGCGAAATAATTGCACCAAATGGATACCACGCATTAAATAAAATAAAAATAATATATAATATATTAATTTAATATATAGATATTAATTTTTATCTATTAATAGATTAAATAATATTACGTATATATATATATATATACGTCGCATGAATTGTGTGGTTGTGTCGTTAATAATTTTAATGACAAGTGGAATAAGAAATTTAACAAATTGTTTTGTTTTTTGTACATTTTCTCTCTTTCTCACTCTCTCTCTCTCTCTTTCTCTCTTTCTTCTTCTTCTTCTTCTTCTTCTTCTTCTGATCTACTTGTCTCTATTTCTTCTATTTCTTTGAATCTTCTTTCTTTGTTGTGTGTTTAATACACAACTCAAAATTAAAGTGCACCAAATTGATATACCTACAACGTTAATCATATTACATATAAATTATATATATATATATATATATATATATACAGTTACATTATGCGTTACATAATAATAATAATAATATTATTAAATCTAATAACGTTCGATGCTTCTTTGAATAAAAAAGAAGAAGAAGAAGAAGATATGATTCAAAAAAAGAAAAAAAAGATAAAAGATAAAAGAAAGATGATAATATACTTGATTAAAATTATACGTTAGAAGCTCGGTGATCAGATGATGTAATAATCTTCGTTTCTTAGTGTAAATAGTTAAGTAATATGGCGTAATGATTAAATTAAACAAGAAACAAAAAAAAAAAAGAAAGAAAGAAAGAAAGAAAAAAAATCAAGTATCTTTGTCCTTTAATAATAATAATAATAATAATAATAATAATAATAATAATAATAATAATAATAATAATAATAATAATAATAATAATAATAATAATAATAATAATTATACAAATGTAGATTGTAATGAATAATTTATTGTTTCAGAGCTAGTTTTCAATTTATCTTGAAATTTATTATTGTTATTATATTAATTCATTTGTTAGACAGTCAATTGATTTATTTGTAAATTTAAAATTACTAAAAAAAAAAAAACTACTAAAAATTAATAACTACAATTTATTTAGTAAATTTTACATTTAATTAATTGTACTTAATAATATTTAAGTTTAAATAATTCATTATCCATTTTAAAAATGAACAATAACCCTTTCGTTGCACAAATATCGTTCCATAGAAATTCATAGTACCATTAGTATGGGTCAAAGTTGTTCGTATGGGGGACCCTATGTATGGATAACCTTGTATTGGGATCTCTAGCACTTGGATACGCTATCTGGTGGCTAAATTCAAAATTAGAGTAGATAGGTCGAATTGCTACGTCA